TTGCTTCTTGACTTGGTTCAGTTTTTTTTGGGCCAATCTGGTTTACCTGCATATGGACGAAATCCCTTCCTCTCTTTACTTAACTCACTCATGATCCAACCCTTGTATACGGTACAAGACATAGGTAAAGATTGTTGAGGGTAGAATGCATAAGTACATATTGTATGGTGCTGAATATTCTTATTTTCTGTAAATACAACAACGATGTACACATAGAAGGTCTTCTTAGATGTAGTTATATCGGATACAAATGAGTCTTGCATGTGATTGTGATAGCATGCTGGGTTTGTGTTTTTGATACCTTGGTGATGACGGTGGAAGCCACCAAGCAACGTGGCAATATTTTTTTTTTGTAAATACAATAACGATGTACACATAGAAGGTCTTCTTAGATGTAGTTATATGGGATTCAAATGAGTATTGCATGTGATTGTGATAGCATGCTGGGTTTGTGTTTTTGATACCTTGGTGATGACGGTGGAAGCCACCAAGCAACATGGCATATCATGAAGTGGCTGATTGATTTTCTATACTTATCTGGTTGATTTTCTTCTTAGGCGGCATGAAGTGGATGGAAAAAATTGCAGGAATCACCAGGTATGTGGCGATGCAGCAGTTGTGAAAGACAAGGCGGACCTTTAGTTTGGATGGTACAAACATGTACTAATGCCCGACCATTCAAAATTTCAATGCACCAAAGGCTCTGGTGAGTGCTTAAACAACTACTTTGTTTCTTCAAACATTAGTTGTTTAGAGCTAATCAGTCTGGAGTGTTGGGTTCCCTGACCAATGATTAACTATGCAATATCATATACTTCCTTCGTTCCTAAATATAAGTCTTTTTAGACATTTCAAATGGACAACAACATACGGATATATATAGACATATTTTAGAGTGTAGGTTCATTCATTTTGCTTCGTATTTAGTCACTTGGTGGAATCTCTAGAAAGACTTGTATTTAGGAACGAACGGGGTATATGGGATGTGAAAGTACACTTAAATATTGGCAGTAGGATTACCAGAAGTAGTGCTTTCGTTTCCTTCTGCAAACAAATAACACTACTTATAAATCTTTCGCCAACAAATAACAATAATTCTGATAATATTTTGCATTTTTTGCATTGACCTCCGTACAAAAAAGATGATGTGTGTTTGTCCAAGTGAGAGCATACAAGACTGTAACATGATCAACCTGTTTGAAGTTACTGAAACCTAGTAGACAGAGACCATCTTTTTTAATATTTGTTATCGTTCCTAAATACAAGTAGACTGTAACATGATCTGCCAACCATATTTACTTATGCAACTACAATTTCAGTACGTTATGCTTAGTATGTGCCTTTTAGTCGTTCCTTTCTGGGTTGTTCTATGCTTTTAATATTTGTATGGGCTTCATTATGCAACTACAATTTCAGTACGTTATGCTTAGTATGTGCCTTTTAGTCGTTCCTTTCTGGGTTGTTCTATGCTTTTAATATTTGTATGGGCTTCATTATGCAACTACAATTTCAGTACGTTATGCTTAGTATGTGCCTTTTAGTCGTTCCTTTCTGGGTTGTTCTATGCTTTTAATATTTGTATGGGCTTCATTATTCATCAGTAATAGTACCCTCTTGTGCAAAACTATAGCCCAAGCTTGTTATTTGAATATACTTGCAGTTTTTTCACATTGATCATTTAAGCCGGGTAGAATTGTAAACTATGGCTCCTTCCAAAAATAAATGGGCTTCTTTTGAAAAAAAAAATCGAAATGCTAGGAGAAAAAATGTCGGTAGTGGTTTTCATTATCCAAGAGAGCTGACATAGTTTACTAAAGAATGCGCTTTCGGCCATGCTGAGTTTAGGTTAAGATGATCACCCAGTTGGTCTTGGTCATGTTGAATTGAAGCATACAACAGTGAGGCAAAAAGCGAGTGTGAACGAGGCACTGACTAGATCGATGGATGCCTTTATGAAATTGAGTGATGTTTTAAACCATTCCCCGTGATGCCTACCGAGTACTCCCTCAGTTACAAAACACATGTTATCGTTAGTTCAAATTAGAACTAAAACCACTACAAGTATTTTCGGTGAACCTCGTCCAATCCAGTACCATCATGATCAATCATTCAATCTTTTCATCAACTGCAAAAGTTCCCCAGTTATTTTATGTTCTTCTTCTCTCTCCTAAGTCATTTTTATGCCATTTCTTTGCGCTAAGACTTTTGATTAACTACCTATTAAGTGGAGATTGTAACTAATCACTAGAATAGTTGTTATTTCATTGACATCAATTTATTGTCTCGTGATCAGCGCTATCCATATTTGCTAAAATACCCCTTTCTATATTCACTATGATATCAATTATGTTAATATATAGCTAGAATAGCTGAAACTTGGTTTATTTCGCTTTGCTTGATCTGAGCATATCACACCATGAGAACAGGGTGTTTGTGCGGTCAATGTTTGGCCAACGGGAGGGTAGCTGGAGAGGTATCACATGGTAGCCTACAATGGCTTCACAACTTATGCATGTAATCCAATTTCTATTTTAGACCACAGGCTCCAATATTGTACATTGCGAGCACCACGATAGCCAGTTTAGCTGGAGAGGTTCCAAGGTGATGACTGGGACACCATCAAGATCATTGCCACGACGCTCGGACGGCTGGAAGCTTGGAACCATTGGCGCAACGCCTGGTCGGCACCGCGTCGGTTGGCACGGTGAACTGCATGCAGCAGGAAGAATACATACGTAGATTAGTACTTCCGCCCTTCTGGGTAACCAACAAAGAGCACGTTGGGAAGCTCAAATCTGATGCTCGACGGAATCTGTACATAATACAACTCGCTGCTTCCTAAACGAAGAACTACATAATCACGTTATATTTTTTCTTGATCCAAACAAGGAACCACATATACTTATCCTAACAAAAAAACTAACTAAAACTGGTTTCCCTAAAACTCGTTTTCCAAAATCTGGCATTTAATACTTGTTGTCCAAACAAACACTAAATGTGTGTTGGCTTAATTTATATTCATGTTAATGTTTGGTATACTTAATGTCTCTTTGTTAGTTGTGAGATCACAATGGAGAATCAATATGTTGTAACAAAGTGAGCGGAAATTAGAGTCGAGGAGTAGAATGATGGGTGAAAGTAAATAAATGAATTGTTTTCTGCTGGTTGCTTTTGCTGTTGTTGAGCGGAATATTGAGGGTGACATTGTCACCATGATTTATGATTTTTCATCAAGAAGACATCCAAAAAATTCAACCCAATTTTGCACTCTCTGCCATAATCTATTATCCACACTGGTTTGATAGTTGTGAACTATAGTGCATGGTGTTTTGGTCCGAATTTGATGCGAGGATGTATTGGTCCAAGATGTGGCAAGAAGCATAAGTGGTGAAAGAATACATTTTTTTGTGGGGAAGTGGTGAAAGAATGCTTGTGACCGTTACGGCATTGAGAACAAAAATTATAAGTCCATGGCTAGAGCCGACAATGCCAGATTAAGGGTGGGTGAAAGAGAATGGCGGTGGGGCACTGAGGCAGGGAGAAATATACCAATTTTTTTAGTGCAAGGAGCGGATGGTTAAGGAAACAGAAAGACTAGGAGGGAAAAAACGGGAGGGAATCAATGGTTTTTTGCTAAATGAATCCAAACCACATACAATCAATTTTGACACATATTTCGAATTAAAACAACCATATGTCAACATATCTATTTTTTATCCCGTGGCAACGCACGGGCATTCAACTAGTGCAACTAAAAGTCTAAACTGATGATAAAAGGGTTAGGCAATCCACTTATACACTTAAACACCCCTTCTCACGTGTGTAATTTTTGAATAAATTGCTAGGACTTGAACTGAAGACCTTGGGCTCTCATACCACATTAAGTTTCATGCACTAGCCAAGCGACCAAAAGTACAAATTGATGAAAAGGGCTAGCCAATCCATATATACACTTCAACAAATACATGTGTATGCATTCTTTAAGAATTCTACACACAATCTCTCTAAGAATTCTTAGAGAGATTGTGTCTAAGAGACTCAACCATAACCAGAAAGCACACATTGCGAATACAGACATTGGAAGTCCGGAACCCAAATTGTCAATACACAACATATATACTTCATGATAGGTTTGGTTTGGTTGTAGTGAAAATCTGTACTCGTGTGTACCCAAGACATGTGTCAGGATCAAGAATACACACACACATGGATAAGGAGGGAATGATGGATAAGGAGGGACTGATGGAGGGAGGGAGATTGCTTGGTGAGAAGGACAGTCTCAACAACCTTGGATGGAAGAAGACGAGGTTGAGGTGGGATGGTCTGGCAAGGCGGAGGAAGACGACGACCGGCGAGGCGAAAGAAGACATCGCGATAGTCCTATAATAAATACAAATGGCTTTGTCACAACAATAGATGATGACTTCAGGAAAATCACACAAAGATCTATGTAGATTATAATATGATCGTTTTTCATTTTGCGGGTAGTATGATTGAAAGTTTGCAACATTGTTGGCATTTTTCTTCTAATAATATGCAAAGACTATAATATGATTTTTCAAGCGTTTCGCGTGTTCAATATGTAATTAAAGTTCCAGTGAAACTAGTAGAAATATTTCATCGACCATAAGGTGCAAATTTTATCTTTATAGCAACAGCGGTAAAAAACAACCATTTTTTAGGACTGTCTATTTTTTTTGTTTTTGCGAATTTTAGGAATGTTGTAGACTTGGGCCTCCTGTTGATACTTAGCTGGGCTTTAACACGGGCCCGTACTCATGAGTGAACAAGACTAACATGGGCCGCAACTGTCGCTGTGCATTAACAAGCTGGCTTTGTAGGAAGAGGAAGTTTTTCCAAAAAAAAAATGTAGGAAGAGGAAGTTTGTCTCAAAAAAAAATGTAGGAAGAGGAAGTGATTTTGACCAGTTGACTCTTCTTCAGTATTCACGCCCGTAGAGAAGAGGGCAGCATCAGATCGCGGAGGAGGATTTGGAGAGCATGGCGGAGAAGGGCGGGAGGAAGAGCGTGCCGGCGCTCGGGTGGTGGCTAATGCTGGTCGGCTCCCTCCGCCTCGCCTCCGTATGGTTTGGCTTCTTCAACATCTGGGCGCTCCGCGTCGCCGTCTTCTCCCAGACTGAGAGTGCGTCCCCCCTCCCTCCTCCCTCTCTCGCTTGCCCGGATTCGCCGCTCCGCGTGGAGCCTATGGCTGCTTCTCGTTGATCTGTGTGGATTTGTCCGTCTTAGGGGGTGGTGTTAGATTGATTATTGCTGCGAATTTACTGTTACTAGTTTGTGTCTGTTTAGGGATCCGCGTTGCGGGAATTGGTAATGTGTAAGTGGGAATTTTACTCTCTGTTTAGTGACCTAGTATGACCTAAGCTTTGGGAGTGGGGGTCTGGACTCTGGAGTAGCTGCATCTGTGGTTGACTGGGGATTTGGTGATTTGAAGAGACGCGTGCAATAGCAGATTAGCAGAGTTAAGAGGGTTGACTTATGTATAGACGACGTCTTGTGGTTATGTCCTGAATAGAAGTCATCATCATCATGACGATGCAAATCAGAAAGAAAGTGGATGCGTAGTAAATTGCCGAAAATTTGTGCCTCAAGAAGCATTAAGATTAAGTGGGTGGATCTTTGACACTTATTTTGGATCTAAGACGGCCCACATGATAATATGTTGTTATCTTCTGTCATTTGTTGTCAAGAGTTCTTCATTTGGAGTTAAGAGGTGCAATAGGGGTTGACTTATATAGATGGTGTCTTGTGGTTATATCCTGAATAAAAGTCATCTTCATGATGACGGCGCAAGTCAAAAAGTGGATGCATAGTAAATTGCTAAATAGTTGTTCCTCAAGAAGAATCAGTATTAAGTGGGTGGATCTTTGAAATTATGAACCTAACAGCTATATAAATGACTTTGTTGTCGCTTTAAGATTGCCCTGTATGTTGTTATCTTCTGCATTTTGTTTTTCAAGAGTTGTTCATTTGAGATACTCCCTAATATCTTAACCTTACCACGATCATCATGGAGCTAATAACATTCATTTGTTCTTTTGCATGCAGTGACTGAAATACACGGTCGTACTTTTGGGGTCTGGACACTCCTAACCTGTACACTGTGTTTTCTGTGTGCATTCAACCTAGAAAACAAGCCTCTGTATATAGCCACCTTCCTGTCATTCATCTATGCTCTCGGTCACTTTCTCACGGAGTACTTGATATATCATACCATGGCTGCAGCAAATCTTAGCACTGTTGGCTTCTTTGCAGGTACTGTATCTTTACTTGAATACCTTTGTCACCTACTAGTTCGTCTGTAACATTATAAGATTTGAGTTTTAGCTACTGGCACTTATAACAGTTAGATAAGTAACCTGGTGCTACTGTAGAGCACCCAATCTAGAGAATGATGCTACAAGTTCTGCCATGTAAGAGCTAGTTTTGTATGCTTGCATGTAGCTAGTTTTTCTACGTTATCTGAGAATGTACTTCCACTTCAGTTCTGCTCAAATGGCCAAATGGCCTCTAAGGTGGTATTGCAGTCTGTTATGTTAATGACTGATGGAGAACAAATAATGCATTCCTAAGTTTATTTTATTTGCTTAATCTTTCTGAGTGACTCACCTGTTCATGTTTGCCTAGGGACATCAATTGTATGGATGCTGCTTCAGTGGAATTCTCATGGGGATTCGCGTGGTTCCCATGCTGTCAAGCAGTCGTGAGTGGCATATGCACACCAGGGGAAGGAGCCTCTCAGATATTTTCTGTTTAATTTTTCCTACAGTTGCATTGTTTTGGTTCCAACACTTGTTCTCTATTCATCTGTGGAAATCTGAACTTTATGAGCTGTAACAAACTAACACATTTTTTGAGAGGGATCAATATGAGCACTGAAAAAAAAACTTGTTTGTATGTTTTGAACGCATGTGTTGATCTTAGTGATCCATCCTGTGTTCTACAGTATGTGAACCTAATATTTTCCTGAACTCTTGCCATATAACCGGAGGAACAAGAATGGTATGCGTGAATATATTGGGAACACCAATATGCTAGACGAGCATATCGAAAATAACAGTGCTTTGGTCCTGGTTGTTTTTGTTCGCTTGGTGATATGGTAGATGATGCTTTTGTCGTTCTAGTTATGCATGTTGTTTTGTACTACCCTCCGTCCCATAATATAAAAGCGTTTTTGACACTAGCAAGAACAAATTGGATTGATTTTTGATAAATCGAATTCAGTTAAGATAGGGCAAATTCAGATAGCAATTTTCTGAGCCGTATGAGGTAGGAAATTCTCTAGTACGGTTCTAAGGGAAGGAAATTCCTATTCTGACAGAGGAGAACAGGCCATTCTACAGGGTGATTCAGAAATTGCGGAAGCTTGGTTTAATCAAGCTGTTGAATATTGGAAACAAGTGGTGTTAAAAACGTTCTTATATTATGGGACGAAGGGAGTATATTCATGATTCAAATCTAGTGAAATGTTAGACGTTCCAATAACTGGAATGTAGAGCATTCGCAAAAAAAACAAAAAAAACTGGAATGTACAACAGTTTATTTTTGATTGAGATGCAGCCCTATGTTTGTTGCTGTCTGGTACATTTTGCAACTACAACAAACGCAGAAGTAAACCATATCAGCAAGCTTTCATAGCTCAGTTGGTTAGAGCACCCGTTTAGTAAGCGGGAGGTCTTGAGTTCAACTCTCAATGAAAGCATTTTTTTATTCAATCTTTTTTCTTCCTTCACTTATTTTGTCTTCCCTCCGTCCTCATCAAAATCCACACACATCTAGTTCAATTTTTTTTTGCTTTCTCCATTTGTTTTGTCTCCTTTTCACCCTCATCAAAATCCACACACAACCAGAGAATTCTTTTTATTCAATCTTTATTTGCTCCCTCCATTTATTTTGTCTTCCTACACACATCTAGTTCAATCCTTTTTTTACTTTCTCCACTTGTTTTGTCTCCCCTTTGCCCTCATCAAAATCCACACACATCCAGTTCAATCTTTTTTCTTTCTCCACTTGTTTTGTCTCCTCTCCGTCCTCATCAAAATCCACACATATCTAGTTCAATTTTTTTGCTTCCTCCACTTGTTTTA